ATGACTGAATAGAAAAGAGGAAACTCTTCTCATTTTGGGGTATCGAATTGCAGAAATCCTCTTTTTTAGTCTATGGAAAACTTCTGAAGAATCTTTTGAATGAAATCTTTTTGACGAGACAAAAGAAAAGGAACAGATTTGTCGATTCTTCTCGAAAATCCTAGTCTTTTCATTGTGAAAAGCTATCATATGCAAAAACCAAAGCCAATTCGGAAGAAAGGACTAAAATAAACTCCACCAATAGGTTCTACGACCTTGAAAACCCCAGGGAACAAATTTTAAACATTAAATCAAGTTTGAAAATCATTTACAGAAGAATCTCACAAAATCTCACAAATTGCGTCTTTTAAAATATGCTCTTTTTATTTTTAAAGATATTCAGTCAATCAATTGAGTAATTTTTGAGTATTAAAGTGGTAAATTTCAATTTTGCAACAAAAAACATTTCATTTTTTCATTTTTTTAACTTATTAATAGCATTTTTATAACTTGTTTTTAACTTTGTTGATTTAGTTTCAATATTTATTATATCTCTTTAAGATCATCGGGGTCACTTCAATTCATCTAAAACACACGGAATCATCGCTTTGCTTCTTCAATATTCTTCAATACACGCTTCAAAGGCAAGTTGTTTTTAAAAGCTTTTACTTACTTTTAACTTATTAATAGCCTTTTTATAACTTGTTTTTAACTTTGTTGATTTAGTTTCAATATTTAATATATCTCTTTAAGATCATCGGGGTCACTTCAATTCATCTAAAACACACGGAATCATCGCTTTGCTTCTTCAATATTCTTCAATACTCTTCAATACTCTTCAATACACGCTTCACAGGCAAGTTGTGTTTAAAAGCTTTTACTTACTTTTCTGCTCAGATTAATTTATTTAATTAATGCTCTGCTGCTCAGACTTTAAAGTTATAAACTAGTAAATTGATAAGTTGAGCTGAATTGATTTGACTGCTAAACTTGAAAAGTTACAAGCGACTTTATTAAGTTATATATTTTCTAATTTAGCCATTGGATGAGGAAAATCGTGTGGCTGCATCATGTGAAATTTTCTCTTCTCCTGCTACCAGCGTCATTGCGGAACGCGTGTTTTCATAACGTTGATCTGTTTGTATAGTTTAAAACTATCATTTTATCTAGCTTTGCCGGGATACATTTAAATAATCTAGAGAGACAACGCATGAAAGACTCAACGGCTATTCAACTCTTGAACATGTTAGGTGGGCTTAGTTTGCATTTTAGTTTTTTATATTAATCACTCAATATAAATTCGCGTATTTAGACAGAATTCGTGATCAAAAAGCAAAAAAGAAGATATGGATGGAGGGCATCCAATTGTATGCAAAGCCATCACACGGAGTGCTTTGAACAAGCTGAAGAATCGGAAGAATACAGTGATAGAGATGAATAGATAACATTGGTTTTGGGAAAGTTATTTGTTTGTTTTGTTTTGCTATGTTTAGTTATGGTTAACATTGGAATATGTTGTAACAATTGTTGCTTCTAGAAAGTTTAACATCTTTCATTCGAACCGTATCTCGGGGTAGTGCTTTAGAAGCAGCAGAAATTATTATCTATTGATTTATCAAATCGGACAAATGAGCTGGTTGATGTCGGAATTTTCCAACCAGATTCTTGAACCTCAAGAGTACATTAAACTGTCAAACCAAATTTAGATTTAAACAATGAAAGTGGATATCACTTTAGTCACTGGGAAAATAGTTCTTTTTATGGTTAAAAAATTGAAAAGTTGAGACAAGAGAGAGAAATTTCGCAGGCATTTCTTGTCTAATTGTAGGGTGAAAGAAGAGAATTGGGAAAAGCTTTTCAGCTTTTCCCATTTTCTTTTCAGCTTTTCAACAGGCTCTCCTTACTGAAATGAGATGAAACTTTAGAAAAATGAGGTGATAGGGGGAAATGAGAAAAAAAAAGGGGGAAAGTGGAGGGGAACACCCATTAATGGTCACTCAAGAACTCCAGCAATAATGACCCTGTTCTTTTCTACTCATTTTTCACATAAATCTAGTAAATTTCTTGATTCCAGCTTTAGTTTGGCACCTTGATGTTTCCTGAATAGCTGAACTATTCATAGTAAGCTACTGTAGCCCAGCTGACCCACCGTAATAGATAAAGCTACCATAATCTAGCTGAGCTACCGTAACTGTTAAACTGGACAGTTAAGCTACTGTATACTGTATAAAGCACAGTAATCCAGCTGCTTTTTTTTGTTCCAGACTGTCTTAAATTTTAAAAAGATAGCCGTAGTACGGTGGCTTTTAGAAAACGCCAAACCAAGCTACCGTAATCAGTTGTTTTTCTGAATATGTACAGATTTTTGTTTGGCTTTAAATTTCAAGATATTCCAGTCAGCTTTGCGGTTTTTGCGTCAACTTTGCGATCTTTAAATCCGGGGTAGGCTAATTTCCCGCCATTTTATTTGCGCAACTCGCGCCATAACCTCTTCTAAGTGGACCAATCTTTATGATTTGATTTCATTTTGTAGAACTCAATGGGTGCAACAAAATGAAACTAAAATCATAGAGATTGATCTACTTAGGGAAGAAACAACGGGTTATAGAGTTGCGCAAACGACCCATTGTGCAAAGCGGAAATTAGCCTACCCCTTAAATCTCAGGAATGTACCCACCGAGACTCGCAGCACTTGTTCTACTCTTTTTGCCTCATTATCAATGTTTACTGTAAGTTTAAGTGTAACTCCAAAAAAACAGTACACTAATTGCAATGTTTGATTCCGTTTTGACTAAAATTTCCGAAATCTTTCAGTAAATTTAGTGTTTTTTCGAAAATTCCCTCAATCTGCACTCGAATTTCGTCAATCAGGAGGGGAAAACGTGCAATGTTTGGGATGAAGCCGTTTACTGTCAACAGGTGGGCCGAAAAACATTGACAATATCTTGTAGATGGCTTTTTTTTTGGAAAAAACTTCGTTCAGCTTATCATCGATCGATCGTCAACGGTGGCCGCGGTTTCAGTGAAATGCGCATGTCCTGATGGGTATCGATGTCCCTCGAATCCCGATGATACCCAAGCGAGAGTACAGTCCGTCATTGAAAGCTATTTAGACTCACTGAAACGTATTTTGTAAGTTGCATTCAAGTACATTCAAGAATTCTTCTCAAAGACTTCACTAGTCAAGTAAAAGCTGCCGCAAAGCCGTCACTAGACTTGACTTTTAGAATTGCTTTGAATTATGCTTTGAATTTAGGTTAAATTAAAGCTTTGCTTGAAGAAATGTTGCGATTTGCATTGAAAGAATGACGAGTTTTTTAGTTAGAGATTTAATTGATGCTTTATAAAGTCTAAAAGTACTTAAAAAGATAAAAAATGATGAGCGATTGCTGTTCTGACTCAAAAACTCATTTCATTGAACTTTTCTCCGATTCACAAAATCTTTTTGTAAACTTTTCAGAAAAGAAATTGCTTTATTGATAGCAATTTGGTTATTAAAACTGTTAAAAATAATAATTAGAATGAAATTAATGAATTTTTTTTGTCTAAAACAAAAATATTGATTAAAATGAAATTTTTGTCTAACAATAATGACTAGAATCAAATTTCTCGTCTAACAATAATGGCCAGAATCAAATTTTTGTCTAGAAAAAATGATTAGAATGAAATTTTTGTTTAACAATAATGGCTAGAATCAAATTTTTGTCTAAAAACTCAACAGTAATCCAAAATACGACGTGATCAAGCTATTTTAGGCCAAAAATTGGAAAAACGTCTAATAAAATGCTTTCAGATGTTTTCGCGATGAGGATCGTGACTGGAATCGTTGTCTGATGCGATGTGTGCCGATTGGAGTGTAGAACAAAAAAAAATGCTGAAGTGTTTGAAAGTCTCTACAAAACCCTATTCAATTTGCTTTTTGCTTCATGCTACAGAATCTTTTTGTTAGAATTTCTGAATCTTCTGAATCTTCAGAGTCTTCTAGAGTCTTCAGAGTCTTCAGAGTTCTTCTGAATCTTCAGAGTCTTCAGAATCTTCAGAATCTTCTGAATCTTCTGAATCTTCAAATCTTCTGAATCTTCTGAATCTTTTGCCCTTAAATACAGTGGGGCTGAAGCTTGAAGTCGAAATGAGCTTGAAGTCCGTTGAAATTTTCTGTCATTGAAATCTTTTTGTTCAAATGGTTTTACTGTATCTAAGGGCACAACAAAAAGATTCAGAAGTTAAAGAAAAAAAAGAAATACTTGATCACGTCGTATTTTGGATTACTGTAGAGTTTTCTGAAAAAATTCATTTCAATTTTTTTTCTTTTTTTTTTTTTTTTTTTCTTTTTCTATTCAATATATCTGTATATAGATTTAAAAAAGTAAAAACTTTCAAAAAAAAAGCATCAAAAGAGATTTTCTTTTAATTTTAAAGTCGTCGAAATGAGCTTCAAGGCTTCGTTCAATTTTTCTGTCATTGAATTCTTTTTGTTTAAAATTTTATACCCATTTTCAAATGCCGATTTTTATTGCCGATACAAATTTATTTCTTAAAGCTGAAAAGTCATAAATTTGAAGATTGCTAGAGAAAATTGAACTCGTTTGTCCAGCGAAATTGAACTATTGCCATTGTTGTTCCAAAAGGAATTGGCTCAAAGCTCAAAGAAGCAAAGAAAACCGGTTCAAAAGCGAAAACGAACAAAGAAAACGATGCTTTTAGATCCTTTAGATCTAAAAAACATATCTAAATATATAGAAAACTATATTTTATATCTAAACTATGAGATTTCACCTCTTTCTCTTCCAATTATTCTTCCCATCACTTTTGGAAAGAATAATTGAAAGTTCCCCCCCCTCCTTTCCCCCAAAAATTCTTTCCAATCACTTTTTGCCGGTCTTTTCCACGGAATCGACTACAATAAGCCTCATCAAATGGGGTGGGTTTGAAAAATTTGAAGGAAGGGAAGATATTTTTCAATGCAAACTTAGATAATTCGAAATTTCAGAGAAAAGAACTCTGATTTGTCGGCAAGATGAATGCAAATTATCGATAAAAGGATGGAGAAGCGAAGGGAAACGACTTGCGAAGAGAGGATTGAGAAAAGTCTACCAGGTTTAAAATTTAATTTAAAAGAATCTTTGGTCTCATATGGGGGGTACCAATCCAAACAGGACTTCGGACTGGGGCGGTATATTTGCTCTAGAGCAAGTTAATCATTGACCGTCAGCGTGACTCGAACCCGGGGGCGGGAGGAAGCCGGCGTGGGAGCCGAGCGCGCAACCAATTGACCATAGAGTCATGGGGGGGGCCCGCAAAAAACGGTATTTAATGGGAAGATAGGGTAATTTTAGATTAGAAATCACTAGATTCGCATATTGGATATGTTTAAAAAGGGGTTTTTCTGCTGTTTTGGGCTGTACTACAGTAGTTCTGGTCACGACTGGACTTGGCTAGACTAGGCTACTATGTACTTGGCTAGACTAGGCTACTGTACTTGGCTAGACTAGGCTACTATACTTGGCTAGACTAGGCTACTGTACTTGGCTGGACTAGGGTACCAGGGCTGGATACTGTACAGGGGCTAGTGACTAGTACTGTTGTATGTACTGTACTGGTATCCTGTACTAGGTTATTACAATCCTAAAACTATTACCCAACTTATAGAAACCCCATTGATCCACGATTGTGAGATCTCATGTCCGGGTGCTGATCGAGATTCAGTTATCTCAAAAACTCCATCGAACAATCACAAATGTATACGGTGAGTTTACCGATAAAGCTATTCACTTAACAAGAGATCATGTTTATTTTTTAAAAATCCATTTCTAAACACAAATAATTTGATAAAGAATAACCGTAATTTCATTAATTTAATTTCTCTAGATATTATTCTTATGACACTCTACAAATTGGAAACAAATGGTCGATTTGGCGATCGGGCGTTTGCGCGAATCAGGTGAATTTGGAAAATTCACAAATGAAATTCAATACAAAACCGACAAGAGCAGGTCAACCATGGCACAAGCCATATACTGCCCGACGTAGAATTTTGCGCTGATTCCGAATCTATTTTCCGTTTCTGCTAAATAGCACTCTGTCAAAAGTTATAAGCCTGCAAATTTTTGTTTGCAATTTTAAAAATCATTTCTCGAGTTTAATTTATACGCAGATTTCCTAGAGGCTCTTGGAAGCAGTGGTAGTCGGTGGTAGCTGTGGTAGTCGCTGTGGTAGTCGGTGGTAGCTGTGGTAGTCGCTGTGGTAGTCGTTGGTATGCTGTGGTAGTCGGTGGTAGCTGTGGTAGTCGCTGTGGTAGTCGGTGGTAGCTGTGGTAGTCGCTGTGGTAGTCGGTGGTAGCTGTGGTAGTCGCTGTGGTAGTCGGTGGTAGCTGTGGTAGTCGCTGTGGTAGTCGGTGGTAGCTGTGGTAGTCGCTGTGGTAGTCCGTGTGATAGCTGTGGTAGTCCGTGGGGTAGTCCGTGTGGTAGTCGACTAAAATGCAAAGTAAACCGTCTAGAGTTCGGGTCCACAATTTAGCTTTTATTTGCTTTTTTGGAGGTAATTGATCTCCATTTTAAATACAAGTTTTTTTCAAAGTACTTCTCATACAAATGCTTCCTTTTAACTACGTCTACTACGTCTACGTAGTCGACTACGTAGGTACTACATCGATTTGAGGCGGAGCGCTTTTTTCTTCTTCACTTTTTCTTCTTCACTTTTTCTTCGCAAACCACTTTTCTGGAGTAGTTTTATGTGTAGATTTCGAAAAACATAACGAGAGTGTGGGAAAATGTGTTTGAAGTTGAGTTTTGGGGCTTCAAAGTGTCACTGGCCTTTGGTCATCACACCCGGTTGACTAGAGCGTGTCCCTCTCAAGTAATAGTGCAAAATAAGAAACGACTCCGTTTTCGATTTCATGGATAATGAGCAAGAACGCTTCTGATCCACGTTTTAGAAAACGAGATCGTTTCCTATTTTGCGCTATTACTTGAGAGGGACACACTCTACGGTTGACATTTCCCTTGTGAGAACAATGTGTTCTGACTTGTCTTGTCTCTTAATTTTTCTTAGAATCGTATGATCCAATCAAATTCTCCTTTATACAATATCATTTTCACAGACTTATTTTTATTTAGACGATCACCCTCGAAGTTCACTGTGGATTTCCCGAAAAGGTGCCGGCTAGGCTCTCAAATTGATTGGATTTATTGGATTTATTGGATTTATTGGATTTATTGGATTGATTGGATTGATTGGATTTATTGAATTGATTGAATCTCGAAATATTATCTATTCTATATTATTAAAAATGTTTTCTAATAAATTATCAACTTGTTTGATACGTAAAAAAATCACAAAAATAGATTCTCAGCTTTTCGGGAAACACTTTTTCCGGAAAGAAAAGTGAAAATTTGGGTTATCCTGGCTCTCACTTTTCCTTTCGTTTTTCGATCTTTTTTCATAATCTTTCAATTATCTCAAAAACGTAAATTCTTCTATAATATCTAAATTTATATTTTAAATATTTAATCAAAGCTAATCAATTACTTTTTAATCGTTCAGCTTTGACAAAAATCTTTGACCTACTAAATATTAAAGATTTATAAATCAGCTTTAATTATTAAAACGAATGCTGCATATTCTTGTTATATTGTTATTGTTGTCTTGTGGGAATTGTTGTTTTCGAACAATGTCAGCTGAGAAAGTGATCGAAGCGCTGAGGAAAGGTAAAGAAAATTATGAAAAGAGAGATCAAAAATCTTTGAGGATCTATTAGGGTGGTGCAAAAGAAACTGCCGATGCGTATCAGCTCTCATTTATCAGAAACGAGCGATGCTAACGGCATTCTTTTTTTTTATTTTTTGTTCGCATATTTGTTTGCTATTTATTTCGACATTTTTGAATTTTTTGGTTGTTGTTTATTTTATTTAAAAATGCTTATATTTTTTATTTAGATCATGTTAGCATCGCTCGTTTCTGATAAATGAGAGCTGATACCCATCGGCAGTTTCTTTTGCACCAGTTTGTGCTACGAGCAGCACAACTGTTTAACTTCAAAATTGGAAAGTCTGCTGCCGAATCGCATCGTTCTCTCTGTGCTGCTTCCGGAGATGGCAGTTTGTCTCTCAGGCAGTGTCAGACTTGGTTTCAACGATTCCGAGAGGGAGACGAGACTTTGGAAGATTACGAGCACGGTTCCAATACGGTTCTTTTTTGGATCTAATACCGTTCCAATACGGTTCCAATACGGATTACGAGCACGGTTCCAATACGGTTCCAATTCGGTTCTTTTTTGGATATAATACGGTTCCAATACGGTTCCAATATGGTTCCAATACAGAAGTCGTGAACGAAGCCAAGCTGAGGGACGTTATTCAGGCCGATCCATGCCAATCCATGCCAATCTGCTCGAGATCTTGCGAAAATATTCCATTGTGATCATGTCACCATCGAACGCCATCTTTTTTTTTAATTTACCGTCAAATCGGCAGTTTCTTTTGCACCACCCTAATAGCTCCAGCTTTGGTATAAATTGATAAATTACAATACATATTTAAAGATATTAAAATAGCTTGCCAAGAAGAGAAACTTGAATTTTAAATTATATCTTTTTTATTTTAGATCCCTCCTCCACTCAAATCAACAAATCAAAATCTCAGTCATTCAAAACACTTTCGAGAAGGCACGAAGAAGAAGATTTTGAATCAGTTGAGGATTTTGAATGGGATTTGACATCGAAAGAGATTGATGAGCTGCTGAAAGATGAGCATTCATTGGGTAAGAGATCGGCAAGTTGATCATTGTTTCATTTGAAAGTAAAACTGAGTAGTTTGACCCCTTGAACCAAATCCTAACTTACAACCTTATCACTGAGTGCACATAAGAAAAGTTGAGAGTCATTCCCAAGTTGAGAGCCAAGTTATTTACAGTATCTTAGAAATCATCATAGAAATCAAAATATATCATTGAAAGTATCGTAATCCGTCTTTCAGAAACGACAACAAAGCCAAAAGCTCTAGCCAGAGCCAGAGCCAGAGCCAGAGCCAGAGCTCTAGCCAAAGTTGAAATCAGTGAGATTCACGATATGGAAAGTTTCAAGAAGCATTTTGACAGTAAGATAATTAAGTTTTACTTTTAATTTACTATATTTAGATAATTAAGTACTAGTTGAATTAGCTAAATACTTATTTATAGCTTATTATATATTTAGTTTCTTATTATATATTTAATTCTAGTCATGTGAGGGATTCCAATCCGAATCTAATTCCATCATCGTTTTCTCAGCCATTTCTTGACCGATTGCTCTAAAATTTTGTCTACAAGCTGAAAATATCAATTTCTATCTGTAGACAAGATTTCAGATCAATCGGCCAAGCATCGGCCAAGCAGCAGCCAAGAAAACGAAGGATGGAATTAGGTTCGGATTGGAATTTTCCTATGTCTTGTACATTCTAGATAAATAGCTACCATAAATACTGTAATAGTACTCCACCCCCATAATGACGGTGCGGAGCGTTGCGTAGTCTAGCTTTGAACGAGTTTTTCTCGACACTGGTTTATGCTACAATGCTCGTTTAAATATCAAAAAATAGCCCTGAATTTCAGCTATTTTTTGATACCAAAGATGCATTTTTTGAAAGTACGGGCGCTTTGAAAAAAAATGAAATACTAAAAAACTTTTGCGACTACGCGACTGTACGATGGCGGTGGGGGTACTATTACAGTATTTACGGTAGTTAATTCTAGCTTTTTTCAGAGATGCCTACTTGGGAAACGGAACGCGCGGGATATGCTAAACCAGTCGAAGAAAGTATAAATAACATTTATGGATCAAAAATTGATTGTAAAGCTTTAGGTAACAATTGTCCACTCCTTCCACTTACTTTATTATGTCCAAATGAAACGAAATGTGCTGGTGGACGACCAGAGAATATGGATATGGAGGCACAGGATGTATTGTGCGTTTATTTCTCCGCTTTCCTTTAAACACACTTTTTCTAGTGCATTGAATTCTTGGTTTTTTTTTCACAAGATAAATGAAGAAACTAGAGATTTAAGTGTACTAGAAGGGGTGTGTTTCGAGCACAAAGAACACGACTAGGGTACAGCACTGGACAATGAAATATGATATTTGAAAAACGATCGTCACTTTCGCGCGTCTGTAACTCCCTTGTCTTTGAGTTTAAACTATTAGTGTTATACATTTTCTGAAAGCTCTTTTCAAGGGCTACACAATGGTAATATTAATATTTAGAAATACGGTAAAGAAAAGGGAGTTACAGACGTGCGAAAGTGACGATCTTTTTTCAAATATGGATATTTCATTGTCCAGTAGTGTATCTTTTTGCTTAAAAAAGAGTAAGCGCATCTCTTTCTAGTGCAGAATTGAAATTCAGTGCACCGGGAGGGATGTGTTTTTTGCAATTTTTCGGCTCAAAATACATCAAACTAGTCAAAATTGATGCCTAAAAGTTGAATTTTTCAGTTGTGAACGCGTTTTTCAAAATATGAGCACTTATGTTTTGAATGATTCAATGAATTCACGAAAAATTGATCGCTTACGATGTAAACACGGATTTTGGTGGATCATTGAAAATGCCGAGAAGAGAAATTCGTTCACGAGACTTGAAGAAAGACAAACGATTACTTGTGTGTGATTGTTTGATAAACGATTGACAAACGATTGACAAACAATTGACAAACGATTGATAAACGATTGACAAACGATTGACAAACGACAAACGATTGACAAACGATTGACAAACGATTGACAAACGATTACTTGTGTGTACTCAAAATTGCTTTTCTTTTGTTTTGCTAATGATGATTTATTGTTCTAAACTTTGAAAAGTCTTTGAAGCTCTTTGAAGCTCTTTCAAACTCTTTCAAGATCCATCTTCATACTCAAAAAGATGAGAGTTATCTCTGTAGAAAATAGCCGGATTTCTCGGGAAACCACAACGAATCGTGAATGAGACTGACGTGGAGAGACAAGGCTCGGATCTCCACAAAAACCTGAATCACTTGTAACATTGTTTAAATTGAATAGAATTGAAGTTTTTAAAGTCTGAACAATCTAATAACTACTATATCAAAGAGTAGTCTGTAAGGGCTTTTTCTCAGCCCTGTTTTGATCAATAAAGCTAAAACTATTTTAGAAAACCTTAGAATATAATATAGTTATGTCATTTAAGATAAAAAATTAAAAGTCGAGATTGAGTGGCAGTATGGGGAGTCGAACCCGGGTAGTGTGGGTTGTAGACAAGAGCTTTGCGAGTGCGCCACGGCGACAGATACGAAGGATCCCGAAAAACCCGCTGTTAAGAACTACGGCACTACGGGAGGTTGAACTACTTGAGCCCGGGTGGTGTGAGCGGGGTTAAGGACAGGTTTTTCCGGACAGCTTTCTGGTCGCGTTGGCGCAGTTGGAGTGCTCTTGTCTACAACTCAGACAACCCGGGTCCGCTCCCCCACTAGTGCCACTCAATCTCAATTTTTAATTTTTTATCTTAAATGATATAACTATATTGTATTCTAGGGTTTCTTAAAGTATTTTAGCTTTATTGATCAAAACAGGGCTAGAAAAACCCGGTCTTTGGTCGTTTTTAAATTTTAAATGATAACTATATTAGTTTTACGAGTTTTTAAAGAATTTCTGTTTTTTTGGCTCAAAGACGGCTGAGAAACAGAGAGAGGGACGGAGAGACAATGCTCTTTTATATTGTCGATCTTTTATATGTTCCTTTCCAGCGAATTTCCACTCACCAATCCTCCCATCGTCGCTCCAAATTGTAGCTATAGTAGATATTGCATTTGTGATTCCAGCTGAAATTTTGAAATAAGATTTTGATGTTTTTGGATAACCTTGGAATCTTTGCCAAAACAGTGGCCTCGTCACCCTCCTCACATCCGATTCGACAGTAGACTCGAGTCACATTTTCTGTGAAATTTAGGCAACAGTCTCAACTCTAATCTCTTTTTTCTTTCAATTTAGCTATTGTTTAAGTGATTGGATTTAGAATCTCAGAATTTTGAATTTCTTAGAATTTTTCTTATAAATAAAGCCAAAATTGAGAGAAATTGAGAGGAAATTGAGGGAAAATGGAGGAAAAAATTTGATTCAAAAAATTCAACCAAACCAAAATTTGATTCGAAATTTCCAGTCTAAATCAAACCGATTTTTGATTCGGAAATTTCCGAGCCTAAACCAAACCGATTCGATTCGATAAAAAGCCGAAAATTAGAAAATTAGATCTACTTTTTAATAAATTTCAAATTACCAATAATTGTTGCTATTTTTGAAAAACAACTATTCAATTATTCAATTATTCAATTGTTCAATTGTTGAGTTACTTGATCCGTTTCCTCGTGACACAACGGGTTCACTTCGCTTTCCCTTTTCGGTAGATGGAGGGCACAACGAGTGAGATTTGAGTGATCATAGTGATCACATTGAAATGTTCGAACATCTGAACTTGTACTTTTGAGCTTAAAGCTTAAAATGGAAACGCACAGGAGCTCGTGGATTGATTTTTTTCTTAAGACGTCACTTATACAAGAGAAAAAGAATTCAAAGAATTCAGTGCATCGAAAAGAGTGCGCCATTTTTTTTTCCATTTAAATTCCTCATTTTTCTGCTGCATCAAAGAAAGAAGAAAGAGTCGAAAGAATGAAGAATTCAGTGCACCAGGAAAGGCTTGTTTTCAAGTACACAAAGTACAAAAGTACACAAAGAACACAAAGTACGCAAAGTACAAAAGTACACAAAGAACTCACTCCAGTAATACGACGTGATCGGTGGTTTGGCCTTAAAGGAATCAAAACTGAATGCAAATAGAATAAAAAGAAAGTGAAGGAACATTTTGTTATATGAAATTGGAGAAAGTCGAAAACAAATGGTGGAGATGAAAAAAAAGAATTGCATGTACTGAATCCTGTTCCACTCACTCTTTCCTTTTGTCCTCAAGGGCATTCAAAAGAACAAAAGAAATTGAGAATTGTGTAATGCTTTTGGTGTACTTTGAGCGCTAAAAACGCAACTCTTTCTAGTGCACTGAATTCTTGATTTCTTTTCATATCCGCCTTACTATTCCCCAAAGGTCAAAGATTTTCGATAGGATTGAGATCCGTTGAGCGAACTGGCCAGTCGACTGAGTTGATCTTCTTGAAGAGCATGAACGACTTGGTGAGACAACTGGCGTGAATCGGTGCGTTTTCCTGTTGGACGACGTATGGAGTCCAAGGATTTTGTTGCAAAAATGGCACCAAACAGTCGTCTAAGACGTCACAGTGATCTTGGCTATTCGTTCGATTCGAAATGAATTTCAAATCAACTTTATCCTTGAGCGATAAACGCAGCCCATACCATGACATAGTCTCCGTAGTTTTGTGTGCCAAAAATCATCGGTTAACGTCTAAGATCCCTCCAATAATCCCCATCAAAGTTAAACTTTTTCTCATCGCTGAAAATCAAAATAAATTGAAAACAAACGCACATCACATACCAGTGTAAAATCGTCGCGTAGCTTGGCGAAGTCCAATCAGACATCAAAGCTGGTTGTTTTTTGAAGAGCTCTCGATTGATTTGTGAATTTTCTAACTGCTCGCCTCGTCTTGGAATTCTTGTAGTTCATCTTTGACTTCGTTCATTGACTTTCCATGAATGTTGTTCACAATTCGACGTTTTGTTCGCGGAGTGAGCTTTGGTTTTGGGCCCATTTGAGGTCCTTAGCTTTGGCTTTGGCTTTGAGCTTTGGCTTTGAGCTTTGGCTTTGAGCTTTGGCTTTGGCTTTGAGCAGAAACGCCTTTATTCTTATCGTTAAATCGTTATCGTTAAATCCCAGCAAAAGCACGATGAATTTTCCGACCAATTTCCCGCATTGAATCACGATTTTTCAGCATTGTGTCGATCTTTCAGCATTGTGTCGATCTTTTCATAATCCATGAGTTAATTTGCTAGCGTCATCGTTTCTAAAATAAAGAATTTTTATTAAAATTAATAAAAATAAATAATATAACAAGAAACAATAAAGAAATTCATAAAAAAAACGAATGATTAAGACTTGAAATGGTTCTTGAATTCTTATGTTTGAAATGTTTGAAATGAATGTTTTGAAAGAAAATTTTTGACGGCATACAGTAATCCTTTTTAGGTGTCTTTTAGGGTTTAAAAAAATGCTCTTTCTAATATAAAGTAAAATTTTGTTAATAACTCTTTTATTTTGTTAATAATTCTTCTTAAGCAGCATTTTTAGGGGATTACTCGCAAGATTTGAAACACATTTTATGTGTGCTTTTGATTAAGCTTACTATATCAGAAATTTTCTGATAGATTTACTCTATCTTGTTGCATTTAGCTTCTCATTTCGTTTTAGTGTGAAGAAAAGCACGGACCAGATGGCGAAGCGAAGCTTTATTTAGCTTTATTTAGCGAAGCGAAGCTTTATTAAGCTTTGTTTGGCGAAGCGAAGCTTTTTTAGCTTTATTTAGCGAAGGCGAAGCTTTTATTAAGCTTTGTTTAGCGAAGCGAAGCTTTATTTATTTAGCTTTATTTGGAAAGCTTGGTTTGGCGAAGCGAAGCTTTATTTAGCTTTATTTGGCGAAGCGAAGCTTTATTTAGCTTTGTTTAGCGAAGCGAAGCTTTATTAAGCTTGGTTTGGCGAAGCGAAGCTTTATTTAGCTTTGTTTGGCGAAGCGAAGCTTTATTTAGCTTTGTTTAGCGAAGCGAAGCTTTATTTAGCTTTATTTAGCGAAGCGAAGCTTTATTAAGCTTTGTTTGGCGAAGCTTTATTTATTTCTAGGCCCGCGCCCTGTTCCAAGATCGAACCGCAGTACATCGTTCGGATTGCCCCAAAGAGAAAATCGTGATCTCGTAATGTATTTTTATTCAGCCTAATATTTTTCTTGGGGAAAATAAACAATTTTAAGAATTTTCATTTGATAATTTAAAAACAAACTAAATTCTACATTTCGGCGACTCGGCTGATAGTGGTAGATTCATAGATTACTCTCTTAGCTGGGTACACAAACGATAGCCTACAAAACGATTCTAGAGCGCACTAGAAAGAGTGTGTTAAGAGTGCGTTTCGTTTAGCGTTAAAGCACAAAGCACAAAGAACAATGTGAAGATTTTTGCATGTTATTGGGTAAATTTTTCACTCAAATCAATTTCTCCAATCGGAATCTCTTTGTTTTTTGTGATATTACAAAAAATATGCATGGGGGAATGAAAAGAAAAGCAAAAATTTGAGAAAAACGAAAGAATGTTGCTTTTGAATCAAATGGATCGACGGAAATAGTCTCAAATTTTTATCAGAAATCCATTTCAATCTTGATATGCAAATTTTTCATGGAAACGATTTTCTAGAGTTGAATAGGACAAATGCCTCTACAAATTTTTCTACAAATCCCTCTACAAACTCCTCTACAAACTTCTCTACAAGTTTCTCTACAAATCCCTCTACAAACTTCTCTACAAACTCCTCTACAAACTCCTCTAGAAATTCTACAACTTGGCCAACCCATGACCTGCTAAGCTATTCATCTTTGGATATTGTTTGTATTTTGTTGGAAACGATTTCATTCCCGCTTTATATAAAGTTATTGATTGGGGTTTTGCAATCAAAGAATCCGATTCTTCACTCACCATTCTTTACAATGTTTTTCTCGATTGGTGAGTGAGTACTGTAGGATTTAGGCTATAGGTTACAAACTAGATTACTGTAGGCTACAGGTTACAGGGCTAGGCTGCTTTAGCTGGATTACTGTAAGCTCTAGGCTACAGGTTGCAGGGCTAGGCTGCTGTAGCTAGATTACTGTACGCTTCAGGCTACAGTTTACACGGCTAGGCTACTGTAGTTAGATTACTGTAAGCTCTAGGCTACAGGTTACACGGCTAGGCTGCTATAGCTGAATTACTGTAAGCTCTAGGCTACAGTTTACACGGCTAGGCTACTGTAGCTAGATTACTGTAAGCTCTAGACTACAGTTTACACGGCTAGGCTGCTATAGCTGAACTACTGTAAGCTTTAGGCTACAGTTTACAGGGCTAGGCTGCTGTAGCTAGATTACTGTAAGCTCTAGGCTACAGTTTACAGATTACGGTAGCAGATGCACCTTCCTTTAAGCAGTTGTAATAATTCAGGAGTTGCTGACGTGGCCTCTCTTTTCATCAACGCAATCCTTCGCCATCTCACCGTTTACAAGATTGGACCTGAGGAGGCAAGGAGAAAAGCAATGATCAAAAATTCTTTCCAGACTTGGGAATGGCTTTATCGAGTTGCTTATCTTGTCTCAGCTCTTGTCTTCTATGTTCATTTCCTTGGACATTGTTTCCTTTCGCTTAATCGATTCACTTCAGTGCTTTTACCGGGATATCATCGAAAAGTTAGTAAAGAAAGTTGGTAAAATAAATATTTAGTAAATCTTTATTTAGTTCTGGGCTCATAGCACAAAATGGTTTATCTTTGCGAAATGGTTTGCCGCTTTTGCTTTGATCTCTTATCGGTTTTTAGAAGTAATTGAGCTTTTATAAGTTTCGAGTTTTAGATTAACAGCTCGATTGAATTTCGTTGATCAAAACGATGGGACTTATTTGGTGGACGGTTACAACAATGCGGCTATCCGTGTGGTGAGTCTAGGGGAAAGGGATATCCAGTTCATCCAGGACAAACAAAAAACTCTAAACTAATATTCTAAACTAATACTAAAGTCTAGTACACTAGTTCAATCGCTTTCAGTTATCACTTCTAGTTATCACTTCTAGTTATCACTTCTAGTTATCACTTCCAGTTATCACTTCCAGTTATCACTTCCAGTTATCACTTCCAGCTATCACATCTTGTTTCGGGAACAGTTTGTGGTGTGTCAACGATGATCTCGATGTTTCTCTCAATGATTACTCTTGCTCAACTCTATTGTTTAAGGACAAAGGTTTGAGATTTAGCTTTTGATTCTGACTGTTTCAAAAAGTCGCAAGAATTAAAACAGATCAGAAATGTTTCTTATTGACCAAGATTAGATCAAGAGAACCAGCAGAAAGCCAGCTCAGACTAAAGTAGGACTAGAGTAAGTAGCTTTGCTAAGACTAAAGTACCTTTACCCTAGTCTACTCTAAACCAGCAGAAAGCCAGCTTAGACTAAAGTAGGACTAGAGTAAGTAGCTTTACTAAGACTAAAGTACCGTTACCCTAGTCTACTCTAAAATCAGTGATATTTCTACTGTAAAAGATTTACGGATTTTTAACTTATAAATACAAAAAAAAACAATGTAATATAGTGTGAAAATAATGGAAAAAAATTGGGAATTCATAAAATTCTTAGGTTTCGATGAAACAAGCAAAAAATCGAGCGCAATCTCATGATCTACACTCTTTTAACATTCCTATCCAGTTTGGTTATGGATTGGCAACAGGTTTTTCTAATTGTTGAATAGAAATTTTCATAAAAACGAATGAAATTAAAGCTTTTTATATAAGTTTCACTGAGTTTTTAAGTTCTATCGAGTACATACTGTGAACAATTATGACAAGGAAAAGCTTGCTTGGATTGGAAAGCAATACTTTTGGATAAATGATATTTTGGGTGAGTTTAAAGTTCAAAAGTATTCCAATAAACAAGATCTTCAGTGTTCTCCAATCTCTACACGTTGATCATTTGTTGTTGGCCAGTCGCTTCTATACTACAAGAAGCGAAGTGAGTTCGAAGTTTATAAAGTAAGGAATGGTAAGATTTCCGGAGAGGGGATTGAGCCTTTGGGAGGTTTTTTTCTTTTCTACAGATGCTCTAACCATTGAGCTATCTGGTAACTGTTTGTTAGAGAAGAAAGAAAGAAAAGAAGGGAAGGAAGGGAAGGAATGGAAGGAATGGAAGGAATAGAAGGGAAGGGAAGGGAAGGATGGGAAGAAAGAGAAGGAATGGAAGGAAGGGAAGGGAAGGGAAGGATGGGAAGAAAGAGAAGGAATGGAAGGAAGGGAAGGGATGGGAAGGATGGGAAGAAAGAGAAGGAATGGAAGGAAGGGAAGGAGGAGGATGGGAGAAAGAGAAGGAATGGAAGGAAGGGAAGGGATGGGAAGGATGGGGAAGGAAGGAATGGAAGGAAGGGAAGGGAAGGGAAGGATGGGAAGAAAGAGAAGGAAGGAAGGAAGCTTTACTATACAAGACCCAATCATTCTTTTACAGTACGCAGTATTCAACTGCTACAGTATTCAGTAAACGAAAGGAAATCTCTAATTGAATCTTTTCATCAGATGGACGCTGCTCGTTCCCCGTCAAAAGAGCTCAGCGATGCAGGCCACTTTCGGGAATGTTTATTCGATGAGAGTTCAATGGAGTATCTACGCATCAACTTTTGAAGCTTTACAGAAATTCATTCGATAAATTCACTTTGTAAATAAAGTTTATTATCAAATTTTATACTTATATAGATAAAAGTGAGGATAATTTACAACTAACTAGCGATCAATGAATGTTTTGAATGAAAGTTTGATCAAGACTTTTACCTGTCTTTCAAATCAGCATGCTGAATATTTTTTCAATATATAATCTTGCTTAAAGCTACTGTTATGTGTCAAAAGTTAATTTGCTAGAGCACAAAGTACATAAAGTTTAACCGTGTCTATTGCTTAAAACATTGTGAAGTTTCAGCTGTTTACAGTATAAATAGAAAATATTCAAGTGGCTGAATACTTTACAGTTATCTTTAGTTATCTTGTAGTTATCTTTAGTTATCTTTAGTTATCTTTAATTATCTTTAATTATCTTGTTGCTATCTTGTAGTTATCTTGTAGATTTGTTATCAAAATGTTTATAGATTTATTTAATAAAACTCTGAGCACAGGCTAACGGGAAAATAATCTCAAATTGAATAAAGTGAGGTAAAAGAAAATAAAAGAAAAGAAAGGAAGGAAGAAAGAAAGAAAGGAAGAAATAAAGAAAGAAAGAAAGAAAGAAGGAAAGAAAGAAGGAAAGAAAGAAAGAAAAGAAAACTCCTTAAAGCTTTGTAATCCATGAAATAATAAAAATCACAGGGGGTAATACTGGATCCGATTTTGTATGAAAAGAAAAAGAAACTTTGAGATCTAATCTTTCAAGATATTCTATTTTTAGTTATATTTTTATTATCTTTATGATAGTTATCAAGAAATACATTCTTTTGTGATCATTCGTGTTAAAATTTCCTCGTCGATGTTATCAAGGGTGATTGACGGATCATAAATCTTGTAAGCCTGAAAATATTGAATTTTATAAAGTTAGTTAAGGATTTAATTAAGGATTTAATCAAATTATTCAATAAAAAGAAACCCTTCGTATCAATTTGAAGTTCGAGATCTCTTTCAAATAGTCCAACGGCACAGCACGACCCTTGATCTGCTTGGCGAGCTTCTGTAATGTTTATGTTGAAGATAATCATAACAATATCTATTTAAGGTTTTTTCTAATAGTAGTGCACCCAAGCGAGCCGAGGTGATGACTATTTACGGCTTCCAAAGTTTTCCCAGAAGCTCAACACTCAAATCCCCCACAAGATCTCATCGTCAGCTACATTTTCCGACTCCACATCGATAGGATCTGATAAGCGGTTCTCGAGATTTCGAGGAATTTAGGCAAAGCTTAGGGTGCACTACTATTAGAGAAAATCGTAGATTTCAAGAAACGATAGATTTCAAGTTAAAGACAAAGTCAAGTCTGAAAGAAAATCCTGGTCTAGTTCTGGCTTGATTTGTCCTTTATCCACTCACTAGCAGCAATGGGATACGCGTAGCTCATTGGTAAAGCGTTCGCCTGGTAAGCGGAATACCGTATTTTCTCTAATAGTAGTGCACCCAAGCGAGCCGAGGTGATGACTATTTACGGCTTCCAAAGTTTTCCCAGAAGCTCAACACTCAAATCCCTCACAAGATCTCATCGTCAGCTACATTTTCCGACCTCACATCGATAGGTTCCGATAAACGGTTCTCGAGATTTCGAGCAATTTAGGCAAAGCTTTTGGTGCACTACTATTAGAGAAAATACGGTATTCAGCATTCTTGGCATGTATCTTGTAGACAAAATGTAGACAAAATGTAGACAGAAAAGTTTTCTAGAAGGTATGTGTTTCTTTGTGTTTTTTTGAGCACAAAGTACATCGTTTTCGTCTCACTTTCATCTTTGACCCTTTCTCATCATCGTAAACGGCCGCGAGAATCGTTCGACTGTTCTCAGCGACACCAAAAGTGTTCAATGAGTCGGAGATCTGAAAAAAATAAAACCTTATTGAAAGACTTGTGTAGATAATTTCATTCTGAAGAATAAAATTCTGAATTTGTTGGATTTTGATCCGTTTTTTCGTCATTAAGCTTTTTTTAGTCTTTAACTATTATTTAAAGGCTTTAAAAGTCTTTTTGCGCTTTGCATTTTGCCGTTTTTCTGTACTCAGCTTTTTCGTGATTCGATTTCGATAGACACGGGAAAGTAAAAGGAAAAATTGGAGCCGTGACAGGGATCGAACCTGGGACAGGCCGGCTTGAAACCAAGCGTGCTAACCACTCGGCTAAACTGAGACCTGCAGCCGGCCTCAGGAAACCATCTGATAATGAGAGTTAAAAAATCCAAAAAATGAAAAATTTTGTTTAAATTGGACTTTTCTATTGGAGAGAGCTTTGAATTGGAATAAATATTGGAAATTTCAAATCCAGTACTCACATTTCTGCTTGGCGACAAACTGTATATCAATTCGGCAGCTAAACTCCTCGTCGACATCCGATTATGGGCATATTGATAAACAGCTTTATTGGCAGCGGCAAGGAAAAGAAATGGTTCAATGATCTGAAAGTTATCAGATAGATATTTTCTTTGTTTTTATGAATTCAATTGATAGATTTGTTTCTTTTCTAAGCCAGTAAAGCCATTTTGAAGTCACTAACTCACCAGTTCAGCTCTGACAAGAGCCGCATCAATCTCACCGGTCCTCAGCTTTCCCCTCAACTCACTCGCGTTCTCGACATCGACAAAGAGGCAAATTCTAAAGAGATTTCTAGCTTAGATAAGCTTAGATTACTTTAAAGTTATCTAAAATTAGAATTAGATGCAGATTCTTGAAAACGTTTCATGAAATTCTTGAAAAACTCTTGAAATTCTTGAAAAACCTTTCGTAATCGTTGAAAATTTAATCCGTTTTACTTAATTTTGATTCAACATTTGATTTGATACAATTTCTTTCCAAAAGTAGCTAAATAAAGATTTCATTGAAATATTTCCTTTTCTTTTGCTTCACCTGATCGCTCTCCTTTGTGTGTAATCATATGGATCGGGCTGTAATTCATAGCATCGCGACACACCCGGCGACATTCGACAACCGCGACTGGAAAATCGAGCACATTGCAAAACCAAAACCCGAATTTTCAGAAATTTATCGATTTAAATGGTTTAGTTATGCAATAAAAATAGATTATGATTCGTTTAATGCATAAAGCTGCATAAGCATAAGCTGCATCAACCTTTATGGCATTGGATTATAGTAAATCATAATTCATAGTGAAATTTTGATATTGTACAATTTTGATATTATACAATGTACAATCTTGATCACAAAAAGCTACAGAATAGATAGAAAATTTGGATAAACCAATTGGATAAACGAGTCATGGACAAAAAGTCTTTTAACGTTGGTTTTTAGGAGTTAATTCTTTGTATATTTTGCTTATTATATTTGCTTATTTTGCTTATTATCCAAAGCTTCTTATCTAAAGCTTATTATCCAAAGCTTCTCATCCAAAGCTTCTCATCCAAAGCTTCTTATCCAAAGCTTCTCTATCCAAAGCCTATGATCCAAAGCTTATGATCCAAAGCTTATGTTCCAAAGCTTATTATCCAAAGCTTCTTATCCAAAGCTTCTTATCCAAAGCTTATGATCCAAAGCTTCTTATCCAAAGCTTATTATCCAAAGCTTCTTATCCAAAGCTTCTTATCCAAAGCTTCTTATCTAAAGCTTATTATCCAAAGCTTATTATCTAATTTTAACATTACAAAAAGATGAATTTTGACAATTTATCAGGTTTCATAAAGTTTTTAATAAAACAAAAATTGAGCCAAAAATTCATGGACAAATTGATGGACAAAAGTCTTTTAAAATGTGAGAAAAACATTATGAAAATCAATACTTAGTAGGTCCTCCGCGAGCCGCAATTACTGCTTCAATTTTTGGCTAAATTTTTGGTTAATTGTTTTTTAAAAAGCTCATAACATATTATAAATCATTGAATCCATCTTGTAATATTAAAATTAGAGATAATAAGCTCATTAAATCTTTCAATCGTTTGCAAATTGGTCGAATTTGAATCAAGATATACAAAGAACAAAAAGAACAAAAAGAAAAGAACAAACTTCTAAAAAGCAACGTTAAACGTTAAAAGACTGTCCATGAATGTAACTTTTAAAAGAAGCTTTAATCTGAAAGAATTCCATTAAAAAAGTTTCCCTTTTTGTTGAGTTTTCCCATAAAAGTTATAGAAAGAAGAATTTCAAAAACCTTTTTCAATTTATTTACAAATTCTCTAAACTAAATTTAGCTAATAAACGTGAATTGAAAATGAAAATGGAAAACTAGAAAAAATCGTGTTGTGAATAGATGAAAATAAGCAATTTTGAGGGTTATTTGGACAAAGTTGCAACCTTGGAAAGGGAAAAATAAAGAAAAACGAAAAAAGAAAAGAGAGAATAGATGGAAAATTGCTTTTTGTCGTTTTTCGACCACCTCTTTTTCCCTATTGAAAAGCGTGGGGTTGAAAGAGAGACAGAGGGGAGTGGAGGAGGAGAGAAACGGGCAAAGGGGAATAGATCGATGTCCATGCATAAGCAAACCGAAAAAACACACGCATACACTTGAAATTCGAGCTATCTCTCTTTAGTAACATTTAGATAGTAACGTTTAGATAGTAACATTTAGAAACTAGAGCTACAGTCGAACTTCGATCTAAAGAATCGTTTGAAACCGAAAACTTTGCTATAACGAACGTAAAGTGTGCCTCAAATTTTTGTTATAACGAAAGGAGAGGGGGGTAATGTTCTGCGCCCTGCGGCCATTTGGCTTGCATTTGGCTGAGGCAGTTATACAGAAATTTTGGGCACTTTTTTGAATTTTAAATTCGTTTTATCGAATTTCGTTATATCGAAGTTCGACTGTATTTATAAGCCAATTTATAAATCAATTTGTTTTCGCGTTATTTCATTTATGACGTTCGTTATAGCAAAGTTTTCGGTTTCAAACGATTCTTTAGATCGAAGTTCGACTGTAGCTCTAGTTTTTAAATGTTACTATCTAAATGTTACTATCTAAATGTTACTATCTAAATGTTACTAAAGAGAGATAGCTCGAATTTCAAGTGTATGCGTGTGTTTTTTTGGTTTGCTTATGCATAGACATCGATCTACGAAGTTCGACTGTAGCTCTAATTTCTAAATTCAATCAATCAATCAAAACGTTCAACCAATCAATCAAAACGAGTTTCGAGCTAACTGGCTAACAAGGAATTTCCTTTAGAATTTCCTTTAAGAAATGAGCATCTCATTTTAGTTTTATTTCATTTAAGATAGAAATTTTTGACTGGAGAAATAGTGTTGAAGTTTTATAAATAATAGAAAATAAAATAAAAAATTAACTTGAAAAAGTTGGGGAAAACAATCGAAAGATAATCTTTTCAAATATAATCCAAATATTTAAAGCAAAAAAAAAGCGATGACAATTATTTGAAGCTATTCAACTTAAAGCTATTCAACTTACTATCCAACCTACTATCCAACCTACTATCCAACCTACTATTCAACCTACTATCCAACCTACTATTCAACCTACTATTCAATTTAAAGCTATTATATATATGCTTTATTCCGTTGAATAGCGACAAAACAAGAACACAATAATCACTGACACCAAAAAGATAAAAGAAAGAGATCCCTCCAGAAAGAATCACAGAGCAGTCAAATGAATTGCCGAAATTGCGGCTTTAAATCTAGCCATGGTGAAAAGATCACGAACATGAGGGGGTAAAAGGTTCCACAATTTAATAACTCGATTAAAAAAGAAACTGTAGAAGCTTTTAGAGGAAAGTTCTATGGAAAAGATATGTTTAAATTTTCCGTACAATGTACAGTGCAATGTACAGTACAATGTACAGTACACTATACAGTACAATGTACAGTGCAATCTACAGTACAATAAATAAAAGCGTTTAAATAACTCTATTCAGCTGACTTTATTGTAAATTGAGTTTATTGTAGGCTTCGGCAAACAAAACCAAAACCAAAACAGACCAAAACCAAAACCAAAACCAAAACCAAAACACCAAAACCAAAACAAACCAAAACTCAATTTGCATATAAATTAACATGTAAATTTAAAATTGTAAAATGCAAATTTGCCTTTCACTTTTTCTCACTCCACAAAATCTCGCGGCCGAAAAAAGGACCAAAACACGACCTCGAAATTTCGAAACAAAAAATAGCCTATGGGATAGATTCTTGGATGCTGATTTCAAATCTGCAAACAGATTTTCGCTAGCTCCTCCCAGTCGCGAGATATTGGCGAGTTTTGGTTTGTTTTGGTTTTGGTTTTGGTAGTTTTGGTTTTGGTTAAGTTTTGTTTTCCGAAGTCTAGTTTATTGTAACACGGATTAGTATTGAATATCAAATTTTTCATACAATAGCTTTCATTTTAGCCAGATTTACTTAAAGTAAGCCAGCAAAATGCAGGCTTTATCCAAACATCCTTTAAGAACAATTCTGTGAGGGTCCACTCTCAGTACAACTTTCATTTCGTTTACAAATAATGTACAAAAGAAATGAAAGTTATAAAGTTCTAGAAAAATAGTAAATGTACGACGTATTTTGCCAATATTAAATGAAAATGGAAAAGAGGTGGAATCGTACGCATTGTTGTTGCTTTTGCTGCAACAGCTGTTGCTCAATCTCTCTCAAAACCAGAACTCTATCAAATTTTCACACCCTTTCAATCAAAAATCAAAAAAAAACTGGAAAAGTGTCGAAATTTTTCCTATTTTGATATTTTGAGAGAAAAATATGTGAAATTTGACTATTTTGCAAATGTTTTTATAGTAAAACATATCAAATATGAGTACTTTTCGGTCATAAATCCACACAGACTCATCTCGGTTAAGAAAGGAGCTGACAAATTGTGAGGGTTGATTATGTTCAGTGAAATAGCTCGTCTGAAGTGATCAGTAGATCAGTCGAAGGGAAATCGATAACCGAGAAGGTTCGCATTGAGATGCTCCACTGAGATGAGTCTTTGTGGATATTTAACTGACAAGTACCCAAATATATTTAAAATTTGGCTTCGATTTTTTTCAGAATAAATTATCGAATTTATATGTACGATATTCTAAATTTATATATGTTGTGTTCGATTTAGATTTCCGTCCGATTTAGATTCAATCTAAATCGGACGTCTTATATAGATTGAACAATAATATAAACATGCTTAATATATGTTGTTAAGCGTTTTCTGTAGTTTTCTGCATTTTTCAAAGGTCTTTTATTGATTACAGTCTATATCGGACGTCCGATACAGATCGAACAATAATAAACGTGCTTAATATATGTTCTTAAGCGTTTTTTTGCAATTTTCTGCGCTTTTCAAAGAATTCAAGATGTCAGAATAGCATGTTCAAGATGCCACAAAGAATTCAAGATGTCACAATGTCACAACTCTGCAATTCAAGATGTCACAATAGCCTAAGCTGCAAAAATAAATAGAAATTTTTAACTCGTTCGTTGTTGTTGTTGGTTTTTTGTTGTTGTGTGTTGTAATTTCGCATCTATTCTGTTAACGCTAATAGATTGTTTCATAGTTGGGTTTTCTTTTCAGAAAAAGACAGTAACAGACCTTTGAAAAATGCAGAAAACTACAGAAAACGCTTAAGAACATGTATTAAGCATGTTTATATTATTGTTCAATCTATACAAGACGTATTATTGTTCAATCTATATAAGATTTAGATTGAATCTAAATCGGACGTCCGATATAGACTGTAATCTAAATCGGACGTCCGCGATAAGTTCAATCTAAATCGGACGGAAATCTAAATCGGACACAACATATATTTATAAATTAGTACTAGATAGAGCTATTTAAATTTTAAAAATTTCAAATTAGTCAGCTAGAATTATCCTCAATCATTAAAGCTAAATTTAACAAATTTGGTCGCTAGTACGGTCTTCTTTTCTATTGTTTTCAAAAAATTTTTGCTAAGATTCTGAAAATGCGTGTCTAGGGGTTATTTTTGACGCCGATCACGAAACCCATGTTTTTAGCCTAGGTTTCTGCACGGAAA